TATCTATCTATCTATCTATCTATCTATCTATCTATCTATCTATCTATGTATCTATTTATTACAATTTATTCACTTTGTACCCCGGCTGTAGACCCCTGCATCTCCTTCCAATCCCTCTCTCCCTCCCTCTACTTCCCTTATATTCCTTCCAAGTGGACTCACTAAATTGGAAGGAAAGATGGCTGAACACAGCCTGGTGGAAGAGAATAATTAATCTATAAGGTGAGTTTCAGCCAGCACACCAACTGAGCCACCAAACCTTTGATCTAAAATCAGGAATCCTTATGGAAGAAGAGGGAGTTAGAAAGACCTAGAAGGGTCAGGAACTCCACAAGGAGAACAACAGAGCCAAAGTACCTGAGCCCCCGGGGGGGGGGGGAGCCTGCAGGGACTGATATTCCAACTAAGGACCACGCGTGGAAAGGATCTAGATCCCTGTTCATAGGAAGCCCATTGGCTGCTCAGTTTCTAATGTGTTTCTTAGTAAGGGGTACAGGGGCTGTCTGTGACATAAACTCAGTGGCTGGCTCTTTAACCTCTCCCCCTGGTGGGGGAGTGTGCAGCCTTGCCAGACCACAGAGGAAGATGATGTGTCCTTATGAGACCTGATAGGCTAGAGTCAGATGGAAAGGGAGGAGGGTTTCCCCTATCAGTGGACTGGGTAGAGACATGGGAGGAGAAGAGGGAGGGAGGGCAGGATTGGGAGGGGATAAAGGAGAGGGCTACAGCTGGAATACAAAGTGAATACATTGTAGTTAAAAAAAAAACAAAAAAACAAAACAAAACAAAACAAAACAAAAAACCTTCTCTGCCTGCAAGATGTGCTATGAAATGGGAGTGCCCCACCAATTTCTGCTTTAACTTGAAGCCCATATCTCCAGAGGGAATCCATCCTCTGCACTCTTTGGATGGCCAAGAACTGGAGTCTGTATAGCCCGGAGATCTCAATATAACCAAACATGACCGGCCAAAAATAAAAATTAATAATAAAAACAATAATAATAATAATAATAATAATAATAATAATGATGAATAAGTAAACAAATCAAACTATATTCTGCTATACTCATAGATCAGGGTGATGTCCAGTCTTCCTCTGGCAGCAGCTGGAAACACGTGCAAAAATGTACTGCTAGACATCACACAAAGGAAGACTCTAAACAGGAGATACCCATTGGGAGTCTCTTTTCAGACTCAGGGAACCCTGCAGAAGAAGGGGTAGAAATAGTGCAGTAGTCAGAGGAGATGAAGGACACCAAGAGAACATGGTCCACTGAATCGACTAAGCAGAACTCAATTGGGCTCACAGAGACTAAATCAGCAAGCATAAAGCCTTCAAGAGTCTGTAACAGGCTATATGTTATGGCTATATGTCTATATGTTATGGCTTTTAGCTTATTATTTCTGTGGATCTTGAACCTGTGAGAGTGTGCTTTTGACTCTTCGTGTGTGTGTGTGTGTGTGTGTGTGTGGCTTAATTTCTATTTTTATTTTTTTATTTACTTTACATCCTTGTTGTAGCCACATCCGTCTGCCCCTCTCTCCTCCCTTTCAACCTCAGTCCCCCCTTCCCATTCAGCTTAGCTCACCAAGTTGCATCGGTACTGAGCTTGTCCTCTTCCCTGTGGCCTACGAAAGGAAGTTGTGTGGATTCAGTTGTGGATGCCGTACTTCGTCCTCACCATCACCACTTGTAGAAGTTGGGAGAGCCAACTCCAAGGGCATGACAGTGGGTAAAACTTGCCTTGCCCCATCACTGACTTCACCACTCATGAGAGCAGGCCCTGCACCCTGCCTTAATAACACAGTGGTCCTGACCAGGATGGCTAAGTTGAACCAGCCCTGAGGTTGTGAGAGGTATTGCCAATGTCTCACAGGCTGCAGCGCTGGGAAGAGTTGTCTACCACCTTGACTGAGCAGCACAGTGGAGCTGTCTCTGAAGGAGTGGTGTGGGAGAGCCAGCCCAAAGGCACAAGAACAGGAGAGTGGACCCTGCCTCTTGACAATCATGGCATTGGGTAGCCTAGTTGGACCAGGGCTGGAGCACTCACCCTCTTGGTGCAAAGAAGGGAGAGCCTGTCAGCTGACCAGCTTGGCTGCCACCCAAGCCCAAGTCCAGGTCTCTGAGTCATCCCACCTCAAAATGTATATCATCTACAAACGGTTGGGACATGTGAAAGGGCCATTCTTGCAGGATCTCCATGACACAGGACAGCAATGACATAGGATAACAGGAAGGAGTCTTGGTAATGGTTCGATATTGATGGTGTCATAAAGCATGTAGGATATATGAGTTTTTCTACTTATTCAAGTTGATTGTTTATAGCTTTTAATAAAAGGAAAGATACTTTAATAATTAAGGTGAATTTTTGCATGACAATATTGGACAGCAGGTAACAGTGCTGTGTACATTTTGGTTTATTATATGTAAACATGTTCTTGTTATAGTCCCAAGTGGGGAATTGTAGTTTGTCCCGCATTAATTGTCTTGTGTGGAACATGGTTTTTATGTTGGAATTAGCTGAATTCTAAGGAGAAATTCTGAGGAATTTTGAGGAATATAAATATGATAGCCCAGAGATGGAAGCGGCAGTCACTTGGAGGAGTATCATGAGGAGGACTGCTTACTGCTGGTTTATCCTGCTGTTGCACTTGCTGTTTGTTGGTTACCTGGACTTCTGCATTTCCTAATGATGAATACTGGTTTTGCCCCCATAAGAATCCTATGACCCTTCCCTGCAGGAAGAAGTAAAGAGGTATATGTCCTCTTTCCCTTACTGTCTTCTTTACCTGGGGTGGAGTGTTGGTAGGGAGGTATAAGCCTAAGGAACCCCCAGTTATACCACTTCTAGGCATATATCGAAAAGATGCTCAAGTACACAACAAGGACAACTGCTCAACCATGTTTGTAGCAGCTTTATTTGTAATAACCAGAAGCTGGAAACAACCCAGATGCCCCTCAGTTGAGGAATGGATACACCTACAAAATGGAATATTACTCAGCAATAAAAAATAAGGAAATCATGAAATTTCAGGTAAATGTTGGGAACTGGAAAAGATCATCCTGAGTGTGGTATCCCAGAAGCAGAAAAACACACAGGGTATATACTCATTCATAAGTGGATACCAGACATATAATATAAGATAAACTTACTAAAATCTATTTACCTAAAGAAGCTAATCAGGAAGGAGGACTCTGTCTAAGATGCTCAAACCTCTTTCAGAAAGGCAAAGAAGATGGACACTGGAGGAGAGAGAAAATAGGGAACAGGACAGGAGCCTACCACAGAGGGCCTCTGAAAGGCTCTGCCCTGCAGGGCAGATGTTGAGACTCATAGCCAAACTTTGGGCAGGGTACAGGGAATCTTATGAAAGAAGTGGCGATAGTAAGACCTGGATAGGACAGGAGCTCCACAAGGACAGCAACAGATCCTAAAAGTCTGGGCACAGGGGTATTTTCTGAAACTGATACTCCAGCCAAGGACAACTCATAGAGATGGCCTGGAACCCCTGCATAGATATAGCCTATGGCAGTTCAGTATCCAAGAGGCCTCCATAGTAATTGGGACAGGGACTGTTTCTGAAATGAACTGATTGGCCTGCTCTTTGATCACCTCCCCTTAGGGGGGAGCAACCTTACCAGGCCACAAAAGAAGACAAGGCAGCCACTCCTGATGAGACATGATAGAAGAGGGTCAGAGAGAAGGGGAGGAGGACCTCCCTTTTCAGTGCACTGTGAGAGGGACAGGGGAGTGGAAGAGGGAGTGTTGGATTGGAAGGGGAGTAGGGAGGGAGGTACAGGAGAGATACAAAGCGAATAAAGTGTAATTAATAAAAATAATTAAAAAAAGAGGAACTAGCGCCTACATAAAATGGCTTGCAGGAAAGCCTGATAAATTAGTATGATCCAAAGAGCGCATAGAAAAAAAGAAAGAGAAAAGAACACAACACAGAATTGTCCTCAAACATCTTACCTAGATGTCATACTTTCTTTCACATCACAGATACATATAATTGT